ATTAGAAACTCAGGTAATATCTAATTTCTTTTCCTTTCCAACTATTTACTTGTCAAAATGTACAAAGATTTATAACTTTATTTACACAGTCGTGACCATAACTAAGGGAGTTCTGTACACAAAAATTTCTAAGTCAAGCATGGGTGACTAACGGCTTAGCTACAAAAACTAAGTCCGAAAGTGCCTAGCCGTCTAGCTCGTCACTCCCCCGGGCTTCCCACGCGTCAGGTCTCACTACCTGAAATGGTGGGCAAGGAAATCGTGAGATAAAATATCTCAGTAAGTAAACACGGGGGCCCGACATCAAAGTTTAAAGCATGCCAAATAATCGGTTTAAAACATGAACAGAGCATTTCAAGAACGGAGCGTTTCAATAACAAATCATTAATGCAAAATAAAATCACGTAGTGGTCTCCTCTATTAGTCATGGCCAGTGTTATAAACCTCCCACTAGCAGGCTACAGAAATTACTAGTGTATAATCCCCACTAGTAGGGCCACAAGCGAACCAGTTCTATCACTAACATGTCGACATGTGCTAGCGTTTATAAACCTCCCACTAGCGGGCACACGATTATCACGACCATATTGGAGACAAAACCAAGCAAACTTTACAAACAAAACCAAAATTCACGATCGTTCTCACTTTCAAGAATAAATCAAAAGGATCTCATGTGGGCATGCTCAATTCTAGAAAAGAAGGAAAATAATAAAAGTTCAAATTCCCTTTTTAATTATGCTCAAATGCAAATAAATCCATTTAAACCTCGCCACCATCTCAGAAAACAATTAAAATATGCTTCAAAAATTTACGGGCTTTACCATAATTTACTTACCTTAATTACACGAGACAGAAGGCCTAATCCAAGTGCTAGGATCACAGGGCAATCACGAACCTAATCACAATATTCTCGAGTTAGTATCTATAAGGAAAATTTATTCCTTTATTTATTTTCATTTCTGCTTTTCTATGCGGAAATCAAGCATTAACCGGGATTGGGTATTTATCTATATATCTACAATTATATAATTACCCATATGCAATTTTCCTCAATTTCTTGGACAAGCAATGGGAGAACCGGCCTTGACAAAAAAAGGCCAATTCACGGAATTCTCCCCTTTTCTCTTGGACACACACACAACAGCCAAACCCCCTAATTTCCTACACAAATCATCAACCAAAACCCATTTTCAATTCGCCAAAACTCATCCCCCACCTCCGGCATCTTGGTCCTTGACAACCCAAACACCCACACAACTAATTAAGCTCACAAGCAACAATTAATCCACCAATTTTCAAGGATTAGAGAAGCTAACTCACCAAAAATGCTCAACAAGCAAAGCTGGAGCTGGCGGGATGAGGAAGTGTCGGTGGGAAAATTGGGGAGGCTTCCACGGGATCACTACTAGAAATTGAAAGAACAAAATTAGGATGAACCCACATAAATTAAGGCTGAAAGGAGGAGTTTATGGCTGATTTTACCAGGAAAAACCAGTAG